ATCTCAATGCTAGGCAGCAGCACCACCATCCCTCCCTCCCTCCCTCCAAACGAACAAACAAAAAATCCACATCAATTTACCCCAAGAATGTTGATGATTTCCTTAGTGCGGCTGAGATAAAGCTCTTTTTAGATTTATAGTGAAAACAAACTAACTAGCAATGATCAATTGCAAGAGGACATATTTCTAACCTGAGAGGAATCGCAGCTCAGTTTCTCCCTCCACCCCATCTCTCCCTCTCTCTCTCTCTCTCTCTTTTTTTTTTTTTTTAACTTTTAAAAATAAAGAGGTAGAAAGTGGGGAACCTTGCTTTTCTGGGCATTGGGTCAAGACCACACAGTGCGTGGGAGCAATGGCAGCTGGCTGGGGCTGGCTAGGGCCGCAATCCCTCTGCTCTGCCTTTGGCCATAACCACTAGACCGCACGTTTGCACTGTTTTCCAAATAACCAAAAGGGAAGATTTTTAAAACCATACTAGAAAATAACTTTGTTTTTAGGATGTGTTTACTTGTTCTGGTAAAGGTCATGGGGCAGGATTTTGGGGAACACAAAAAGAATGCGGTAAAACTGGCATCATAAGCTCTCTCAATTTGACCACATTTGAGCCCAGTTCAGCAAATCCAAAGACATTTTCAAAAATGCTTATCTTGTTTCACACCTCACTACAAAGCAAACAACCTAATTTGCAGACTTGCTAATATTCATAATGCCTCTAGGTCCTCCTGTCAACATGTGTTTTTAAATATCATCTTTGATTTGATCACTAGCAAATATTACCACTTTCTGGTTTTTAAAGAACAAGAAAAAGCTGCAGAAATTGACATAAAAGCCAGCTCCATCATTCTTCAAAGGAACAAAGTCACTCTTATAAGATCTTTCTTTTGCAAACTGCCTTTCCCACAAAGAAAAAAAAAATAGTTGAAGCTAATCCAACCATAATCTCCACTCCCACGAATCACTGCCCAATATCCGAGAGAGGGTCAATGTAACTGGGGCTGTTGCTGGGGGTGAGAGGTCACACCTCGGAACGTCTAGTAAGATCAGATTATGGCTCAAATGTCTTTAAACCAACAACTACAACATAGCTAACAAACTGCATAAGGAAGAATATATGACATGAGTAGATGGGGTAGCAGACACAATGTTCAAAAGCAATAGATGTATTATAAGGAAATCTACAAACCTGAGATTGAATATATGTCAGAGAGGCTTTAGAAGATGCAGAGAGAGAAACATAGTGGTTTGATTATGGAAATGTATGAATTATTACCTAGATGAAGGGAGGATAGTGACAACAGTCCCTAGATACACTCCAAGATGGGAACAGAGATAGGATGCTGTCCTGATGTTCAACTATCTGGACATCAGCTGGTGGTGATGTTCCTTTAAAAAGCCAAGCCTCTAACTGTCCCAGGTTAAATGAGACTAAGGAGATGTGCCAACTAATTGCAATGTGTGATCCTGGATAAGATACTGGATCAGAAAAATATATATATTAGTGAGATAACTGGCAAAATTTAAGGTTTGTAAAATAGATAATAATATTGTATCAGTGTGAATTTTCAGGTCTGATAATTGTACTGTGGTTATGTAAGACACTAACATTTAGGTTTTCTGGGTGGAAAGTATTCTGGAATTCTTTGTAATATTTTTGTAACATTTTTATGTCAGAAATTATTTCAAAATAAAAAGTTTGAGAAAAACTTTTAATGAGCTAATGCAAACACACACACACAACCAGAGCCTCTGATAAATTCTTGACTTGCCAAAATATCATCTTCCAGATGGAGGAAAAAACTAGAGAACTCTTAATTTGGACTTAATTCTGAATCAAATGAGCAACCAACTGGTGATAGAAACCTTCAACGTTGCGGCCTCCCTCACACCAACCTCCTCAGAGGAGACTGGGCAGTAGTTAACCTAGGCCACAAAAATGGAGGAAGGAACTTCCAGAAAATATAAAATTGTGTGTAGCGTTAACAAATAGAGAGCAGGCAGAACAGTGACTTTAGAAAAGAAAAGGTATAGAGAGTGGCAGGCATCTTCTATCTCTTCTCTGAGACAGAAGCACAGGTAGAAAGGCTGAAAGAGCACACACGTCAGTCAGGCAGAGACCCATATCCCTCAGGGAGCTTTCCTAAGCTGAGAACTCTTGCATTGGTTAAACATGGCAGCTCCTGTGGCTCCTTGAGATGGGGTGGGGTACTTCCTACTTGGGAGTTAGAAAGAACTTGGTAGCACTGAGGGAAATACAACAAGTTGCTGGCTGTTGTCAGAGAGATGCAGAGGATCCATGGGTTCCCTGTCAGATCACACGGCCTGGTGAATGAGGAGGACAGCCCAGGTGAGAGGTTAGGAGTATACATTTCACTGCAACACCCTTTGTTACTCACTGCTCCAAACCTAAACAACAGTGGGAGAATTGCTAGAAAATAGGATACACCAGCCAGGATAAAGGGGGAGAATCCTAATCAGTTAAGGAAAGAGCACAAGAGAAAATTAGGTTTGTACTTTGGCATTTTGGAAGCAGAACTGAGTAAAACAACGGGTATAATCCCAAGGCCAGAAACTCAAACAAGGAATACTACTACTTTACATGGCATGAATCATGTGCCAGACACTGTTCTAAGTACCTTACATACATTTTTGTATAAAGAAGGAGAACTATAAGTGGCCAATAAACGTGAGAAACGATTGTCAATCTCATTAGTAATCTGAGAAATGCAAATGAAAACAAGATACAATTTTCCACTCTCAGGTTGACACACACACATATACATACACATACAGACTTATCACATGCAGAAGTGACAAAGGTGTGGAGAAAATGGGCACCCTCATAAGTGACTGGGAGGATCACAATTTGGTGCTTTTTTGTGGGGCTATCTATTGGCAATATCTACTGGAATATTAAATGTGCATACCATTCAACCTAGCAATTCCACTTGATACGTATCCTAGAAAAATGTTCAAAATAGTAAACAGTGAAGTTCATACAAGGACTTCCAAGCCATTGTTCATAATGATGTCATCAAAAGCTGAAAACAACCTAAATGTAAAAGGCTAAAGGTCTAATAATCTATTACTAAAGCTATTATTATGTCAAAAATGCTACAAAACAGAAGGGTTTATTTCTAGATATCCATGTATAGGAGTAAACACACAGGAGATGCTCTGGAGGGAATTACACTACACTTGTAACTCTAGAGAGGGACTTCTCCCTCACATTAGAGCTGAGGATGGGAGGCTCTACAAACCCAGGCATGACTATGTAATTGCAACTCATGCCAATGACAAAGAAAAAGTCATTCTTTAGATGGCTAAAGAACAAATGAGACTCACAGGGACTCCCACCAGTAGGATTTTTATTTAATAACAAAATTAACATGCGCTATGAAAAATTCAAGTAAATTAAGAAGTAAAGGTTCAAAAAGTATCACAACTAATCCTATTCCCCAAAGGTTAGCTAATACAGACAAAAATAATGGCAAAAGATTAAAGAAGTACATGTAATCAAAATTAAAATAAGAGGTGCTCAAGCCTATAAAGGTAGTGGTATGAAGATAAAATCAACAATGATCTGAGGCTTGCAAAAAATGCTAAGACAATCAAAGGGGCCTTTGTGCTATATTTAGAACTGATAGATTAATAAAGAAGTGAGAATAATGAACAGGGGATTTCTGAACATCCTTAAAGGTAGGTGGGCACTATGGTCTAAATGTGTGTGCCTCCCCCGCAAAAAATTCACGTGTTGCAAACCTAATCACTAATGTGAAGGTATTAAGAAGTAGGGCCTTAGGGGGTGATTAAGTCATGACAGCAGAGCCCTCATGAATGGGATGGGCACCCTCATGAAAGAAGCTCCAGAGAGCTGCCCTGCCCCTTCCACTGTGTGAGGACAAAGATAAAAGGTGCCATCTATGAATCAGAAAATAGGCCCTAACTAGACACCAAATCTGATGGTGCCTTGATCTTGGATTTCCTAGACTCCAAAACTGTAAGAAATAAATATGTATTTCTACACTACCCAGTTTACAGTATTTTGTGATAGCAGCCTGAATGGAATAAGACAGTAGGGAATCTTCAGGAACCAGTCTCAGGTAGGAAGTCATGCCAAGCCAGCCATACTTTAATATTCCTTAGGTTTATCTAATGATTTGTTTGACAAATATTTAGTGAACACCTACTGTGTGCCAGACACTATGTGCGAAAGCCACAAAGACAAACAAAAAAACAAACAACGCACATGTTCCTATCACAATCCAGGACAGGTGCAGTGGCTCACGCCTATAATCTCAGAACTTTGGGAGGCCGAGGCGGGTGGATCACTTGAGGCCAGGAGTTTGGGACCAGCCTGGTCAACATGGTGAAACCTCGTCTCTACTAAAAATACAAAAGAAGATTAGCCAGGTGTGGTGGCACATGCTTTTAATACCAGCTACTCGAGAGGCTGAGGCAGGAGAATTGCTTGAACCTGGGAGGCAGAGGTTGTAGTGAGCTGAGATCCCACCACTGCACTCCAACCTGGGCAACAGAGTGAGACTCTGTCTCCAAAAACAACAACAAAAACCCACCACAATCACAATCCAGCAGGCGGACAGATATTAATCAAATATTCCCAGTAATCAGTGTAAAATTCCTGACTGAGTTAAGAGCTTCAAAGGAAGAGTCTCTAAATACATTTGCGAAGAAATGAAGAAGTGGGGTCTAGAGAGAGGATACAGGGAGTCCATGAACTTAGAGAGCGGGAACAAAAAAACTTTTATTTTCATTAATTTCTAAATGTATTGTTTCCTTCAAACATGAATGCAGGCAACACACCACAGAAGTACCTGTGACTTTGTCACCAGTAGAAATCCACGTAGCATTACCATACAGGCAGACAGCCCAAAATATCACTTACAGAAGTTATCACACCTGCCCAGATATCTTATTTCATGTTTATTCTATCATAAATGTTTTTAATACTTTGATAACTATATTTCTATATAATTTTTTCCTTTGTAACCATGCATTTTATTTTATACATGTAAAAGCATTATTCTGAGAAAGTATCTAAATGCTTTACCTGATTGCCAAATGTATCCATGCACAAAAAATGTAATCTCTAAGCTAAATTCTGGCACAAGCAGGTAAATATGTGTCAAGATGAACCATAAAATCAAGGAATTCAGGTCTCAGGTAACGAAGGCAACTCAATTCCCCAAGAAACAATTTTGGTCATCCTTCACCCTTCCCTTTAGTTTTGACTCTAGTTGTTTAACAAATAGTTGCTGAATGCTTACTCTGCCAGCTGCTGTGCTGAGCAATGGGGAAAGTACAGCAAAAAAAAAAAAAAAAAAAAAAAAAAAAAAGAAAGAAAGAAATTTCTATTAATGTGACCTATCCGCATCTTAATATCTTTACTGCCCATCAAAGTGATTGCTGGACAATCTAAATATATTTGCTCAATATTGAAAGAAGTATGTCTAAGACCTGAGTAAGTGCCACCAACATATATAAGTCATAAGGCTCAAGCAAAAATTATCTGGTTATCAAAATTTCCATTTCTTAGAAAATTTCATCAACTCTCTAACATAAAACAATTTTACCTGACCTCTTTCTCTTTTTTCCAACCTTGTAACTCAGGTTGGTTAATTAAATATTTCCTAATTTTCATGAGAAATTGTTCTTCTGAATAATCTAACCAAAGGGAACAAGGACATAAATGAGTATTATTAAATTTAAGACTTCAGCGCATTGATGTGATATCATATGCACCTATTATGAAGTCCACCTAAATAAAAGCACTCACACAACACAAAAATGAAGCTTGCAACTGGCTTCTAGATCCAGTTAGAGGAAAAGACACACAAACAAAATAATATGTGACTGAGTTAAGAGCTTCAAAGGAAGAGTCTCTAAATACATTTGCGAAGAAATGAAGAAGTGGGGTCTAGAGAGAGGATACAGGGAGTCCATGAACTTAGAGAGCGGGAACAAAAAAACTTTTATTTTCATTAATTTCTAAATGTATTGTTTCCTTCAAACATGAATGCAGGCAACACACCACAGAAGTACCTGTGACTTTGTCACCAGTAGAAATCCACGTAGCATTACCATACAGGCAGACAGCCCAAAATATCACTTACAGAAGTTATCACACCTGCCCAGATATCTTATTTCATGTTTATTCTATCATAAATGTTTTTAATACTTTGATAACTATATTTCTATATAATTTTTTCCTTTGTAACCATGCATTTTATTTTATACATGTAAAAGCATTATTCTGAGAAAGTATCTAAATGCTTTACCTGATTGCCAAATGTATCCATGCACAAAAAATGTAATCTCTAAGCTAAATTCTGGCACAAGCAGGTAAATATGTGTCAAGATGAACCATAAAATCAAGGAATTCAGGTCTCAGGTAACGAAGGCAACTCAATTCCCCAAGAAACAATTTTGGTCATCCTTCACCCTTCCCTTTAGTTTTGACTCTAGTTGTTTAACAAATAGTTGCTGAATGCTTACTCTGCCAGCTGCTGTGCTGAGCAATGGGGAAAGTACAGCAAAAAAAAAAAAAAAAAGAAAGAAAGAAATTTCTATTAATGTGACCTATCCGCATCTTAATATCTTTACTGCCCATCAAAGTGATTGCTGGACAATCTAAATATATATGCTCAATATTGAAAGAAGTATGTCTAAGACCTGAGTAAGTGCCACCAACATATATAAGTCATAAGGCTCAAGCAAAAATTATCTGGTTATCAAAATTTCCATTTCTTAGAAAATTTCATCAACTCTCTAACATAAAACAATTTTACCTGACCTCTTTCTCTTTTTTCCAACCTTGTAACTCAGGTTGGTTAATTAAATATTTCCTAATTTTCATGAGAAATTGTTCTTCTGAATAATCTAACCAAAGGGAACAAGGACATAAATGAGTATTATTAAATTTAAGACTTCAGCGCATTGATGTGATATCATATGCACCTATTATGAAGTCCACCTAAATAAAAGCACTCACACAACACAAAAATGAAGCTTGCAACTGGCTTCTAGATCCAGTTAGAGGAAAAGACACACAAACAAAATAATATGGGGGGTATAATGTAATTTCCTAGCCATCGGAGGTGGGTGCGCATGGGAGATGGGGAAACAGAAACCACACTTGGGATTTCACTTTCAGATTCTTCACCCATTCACAGTATGTGATATTAAAAAGAAAGTTCACTATATCACTGATCATTGGAGAAAGGCAAATCAAAACTACAACGAGATACCATCTCATACCAGTCAGAATGGCTATTACTAAAAAGTCAAAAAATAACAGATGCTGGTGAGGTTGTGGAGAAAAGAGAACACAATTTATACTGCAGATGGGAGTGTAAATTAGTTCAACCATTGTGGAAAGCAGTAATGCAATTCCTCAAAGAACTTAAAACAGAACTACCATTCGACCTAGCAATCCCATTGGGTATATACCCAATGGAATATAAATTCTTTTTTTTTTTTTTTTTTTTTGAGACAGAGTCTTGCTCTGTCACCCAGGCTGGAGTGCAGTGGCGCGATCTTGACTCACTCCAAGCTCCGTCTCCTGGATTCACAACATTCTCCTGCCTCAGCCTCCCAAGTAGCTGGGACTACAGGTACCCGCCACCATGCCTGGCTAATTTTTGTATCTTTAGTAGAGACGGGGTTTCACCATGTTAGCCAGGATGGTCACGATCTCCTGACCTCATGATCCACCTGCCTCAGCCTCCCAAAGTGCTGGGATTACAGGCGTGAGTCACTGCGCCCGGCCAAATTCTTTTACCATAAAGACATATGCATGCATATGTTCACTGCAGCACTATTCACAATAGCAAAGACATGGAATAAACCTAAATGCCCATCAATGGTAGGCTGGATAAAGAAAATGTGGTAAATATACACCACGGAATACTATGCAGCCATAAAAAAAGAATGAGATCATGCCCCTGTGGGAACACAAATGGAGCTAGAGGCCATTATCCTTAGCAAACTAACACAGGAACAGAAATCAAATACCCCATATTCTCACTTATAAGTGGAAGCTAAATGATGAGAACACATGGACATACTGAGCCTACTTGAGAGTGGAGGGCAGGAGGAGGGAGAGGATGAGGAAAAATAATTATTGGGTACGAGGCTTAGTACCTGGGTGACAAAATAACCTGTACAACAAAACCCCGTGACACAAGTTTACCTACATAGCAAACCTGCACATGTACCCCTGAACCTAAACGTTAAACAAAATTAAACAAATAAAAGAAAGCTCAGAAAGGAGTAAGGCCTGCATCGTCACACTATAGCCTAGCAAGCTCACCCGATACCTTCTTAACCATCCATACTTTTTCAATCACTTATTTTAACAAACAAAGAAAAACGCAAGTGTCAGCAGCAGACTGGTGAGCTGAGGTTAGCATGCAACAGGATTATGAACTGCCAGGCCTGGGATGCATCACAGCAAAGGAGGCTAACGATCACTTCCTTCTCCTCCAGTCATATCCTGAAAGTTCACACTGACTGCTAAATGGAATCACATTTTCCATACTGTTGAAAGCAGTCCCTGCCCGGCACTCTGGTGAACTGGCACAAGGTGACTTGAGCTGTCTAAGTGAAACAAGTAATTTAAAAACAGAGCTAGAAATAGAACCCAGGTATCCCAATATCTACCTTCCTCTCCAAAAAGACAACAGTAAGAACTAGCTTTAAATGATCACTTTGCCATGTACAGGCATTTACATTTATGTTGATCCTTACAAAACAATCTTATGAGGTAGGGGTTATTATTATCACAATTTGCAGGGGAGGAAACCTGCTCAGAGAGACTGTCATTTTCCAATTTGAGAGTGCCAGTAAGCAGTAGAGTAGGATTTAAACTTGGGCTGCGTGAGTGCACATTCTTAACCACCATAACATTCTGCTTCTAATCTTGAGATCTCATCTTAACAGTAATCAGTCTTATTTTTTCCTTTAAACACTTTTCACAGCTCACTCTTTCAGCTAGTAGATGCGGAGCATAAAATGCAATGCAACTGCCCATTTATTCCAGGAGTTCTAGAAGGACTAGGGAGTTAGAGCTTGGGCACGGTAGAGAAAGGTGAGAGAAGACATATTTTGTTCAGCCCCAAAGTCCACAAAGACAAAAACAGAAGATATCTTTAAAATGGAGGTGAGCAGAAGGAAGCAACATTGTCTTTTATTAGAGGAGTGGTTTTTCCTTAGCCTCTTCCTTCTTTTCCCTTTGTCCATTGCAGTAGCCACAGCAGAGTAACTCTACTTAAAAAGGAAAGGTTGATGCCATTCAACTGTGACTTCCTAATAATTCAGCAGCAATTTTTTGTGTGTTGCAGCAAAAATAGCACAGAACTGGAAGCTAAGAGACCTGAATTATCTATCCGAGATCAACCAATTACCAGCCTTTTTTAGGCAGTGTTCCCTCTTCCATAAATAAGGGTATGATATTGACTTACGCGTGGGCTTGCTTCTTCCTGCTCCACAGCTATGAGATTGAGACATAAGAAATTGCCAATATCTGGCTATTTTTGACCTACAAGAGTGGCGATTTCCTAATACACAGACTTACACACAATTGCTGACGCTAAAGTATCTGTTTCTTACCTTTTTAATCTAATTCCACATAATTCTAGCATCTGCCAACGTTCAAAACTTGTGGCTGTCAAAAGAAATTCAAGTACCAGCTCAAAGTGGAGAAATATTTAATTTAACTAAAGAATCCTTGAAATGTGAAGGAGGACTAATACATCTAAAATAAGGAGGTGCTATAAGCAGTTCCAGAAAGACACCACTAATCACAGCTAAGGGGATAGAGGGAAAGGCAGTTTTAAGAGGCTACATAAGCCCTGAAGCTCTGGATCACCCCTAGTCCCACGGGCTTCCTGAGCCCTCTTTTCCATAGTAGAGGGATATTAAATACTTCGGGTTGGGTGTGTATATGTTGGCGATGATCATGGGCTGATAGTGATTCTATTCTACTTTTAGCAAATACGCTTACCAGCAATATGCAACGAGAAAAGGAGAGACAACTTTAGTTATTAGAAACTCTCAAAAGAAAATCTGCTGTCTCTAAAATTTTCCTGAGTTGTGGTATTCATGCAGTTTGAACTAAGGTTTCCATGTCCAACTTAATATGAAAAGTCATCTGTTCCCAAGCCTTAGACAATGGCCACACAAAAGTAAAACAAAAGCTTATGCAGTTGCAACAGTGACCCTATTGTGTGTCAACCCAGATTTAACAGAAAGTGAAAAAATCCAGCAGAATCATTTCAAATTTTTATCTGACTAGCTAACTTTGTTTTTTAAAGTTATAATTTCATGTCATTATAAAAATAGTAGTGTCCTATGAATCCTTTGCCCTACTTCTCCCCATAATCCAATGATACCACTCTTAAAACTATAACATAGCATCAAAACCAGAAAACTGTCATTAGCACAATATTGTTAACTAGACTATACACTTTGTTCATACTCCATCAGTTTTGACTTGCGTTCATGTGTGTGTATGTAGGATTGTACAGAAGTATACACATATACTTTAGTGTAGTTTCTCATAACCACTTTAATATGATTTCATATAACTAACCACCAAGATCAAAACAAAGAACTGTTTCATCACCACCAAGGGCTTCCTTGTGCTACCCGCTTTACAGTTGCTTCCTGCTTCCAATGTCCCTATACCCTAGAAATCACTATTCCATTCTCCATTTCTAAAACTGTAACTTCAAAAATGTTACAAAATTAAAGCATGTATTATATATGCTTTTTTGAGACTGGCCTTTTTCATTTAGCATAATGCTCCTAAGATGCACCCGGTTGTTGTGTACCAATAGTTCACTTCTTTCCATTGCCGAACAGTATTCTATTGCATGGATGTACCAGTTTGTTTAACCATTCACCCATTAAAGGATATCTGTAGTACTTCCTGTTTCGAGCTGTTATGACCAAAGCTGCTAAGAGGGAGGTTTATGCCTATAGGTTTTTGTGTGAACAGAAGTTTTCATTTCTCTGGATTAAATGCCCCAGAGCAATTGCTGTGTCATAGAGCAACTGCAATATTTAGTTTTAGAAACTGCCAAGTGACTTGCCAGCATGGTTGTTTCATTTTACATTCCCACCAGCAATGTACAGAAGATCCAGCTTCTCTGCATCCTTGCCAGCATTCAGTATTTTCACTACTTTTGATTTTAGTCATTCTGGAAGGTGATAGTTCATAGTGGTTTTAGATTGCATTTCCCTAATGGCTAATGATATTGAACATCTTTTCGTGTGTTTATTCGCCATATCTTCTTTGGTAAAATGTCTCCTTGTGTCTTTTGCCCTTTTCTAATTGGACTGTTTCTCTTTAGCTGTTAAGTTTTGAGAGTTTTTATTTATTTATTTATTTATTTATTTATTTATTTATTTATTTATTTAATCCTAGATCTAAAAAGAACTAGATGTAAATAAGTTCCTTATCAGATATATGTTTTTGCAAATATTTTCTACCATTCTGTAGCCTGGCTTTTCATCCTCTTAACAGGGTCTTTCACACACAAAGCAAAAATTTTTAATTTTGATGAAGAAAATTTTATCCATTTTTTTATAGGTTGTGTATGTTTTCAGCATTGCATCTAAAAACTCTTCATCTAGTCCTAGATTCCACACATTCTTCTAAAAGTTTTAAAGTGTTACATTTTACATTTAAATCTATCATCCATTCTGAATTAAATTTTGTATAAGACATGAGGTTTAAGTCAAGGTTTTTTTGTTTGTTTGTTTGTTTGTTTTTTTGCCTATGGATGTTTTGTTTTAAAAAGCACCGTTTCTCAAAAAAGCTATCCTTCCTCCGTTGAACTGCTTTTGCACCTCTGTCAAAAATCAATTGGGCATATTTGTGTGCGTCTATTTCTGGGTTCTTTATTCTGTTCCATTGATCTATGTGTCTATCCCTCTGTCAATACCACAGTCTTGATTACTGTCACTAAAAAGAAAGTCTTAAAATAGGGTAGAGAGACTACTTAGAATTCATTCTTCCTTTTTAAAATTGTTTTATCTATTTTGGTTTCTGTGCCTTTATATATAAATTTTAGAACAAGCTTGTCTGTATCTATAAGAAATCTTGCTGTGATTCTAATAGGAATTGCATTAAACCTATAATCATTTTGGGGAGAACTGACATCTTTCCTACGTTGATTTTTTCCAATCCATTAATGTCTCTCCATTTACTTAGATCCTCTTTCATTTCTTTCATCAGCAATTTGTAATTTCCAACATACAGGTCCTCTACATGTTTAATTAGATTTATACGTAGTCACTTCATTTTTGGGGAGACTATCAATGGTGTTATGCTTTTAACTTTGATCACCATATGATTATGGCTAATCTATAGAAATATGATTGATTTTGTGTATGTGTCTATCTTGTATCCTGTGACCTTGCTGAACTCACCTACTAATTATAGAAGGGGGGTGTGTGTGTGGGTGGGTGTGTGCATTCCTCGATTTTCTACATAGACAATTGTGTTATCTGAAAGTGAGGGCAGTTGTATACCTTTCTTTCCAATCTGTATGCCTGTTATATTACTTTCTTGCCCTACTGCACCGGTTAGGACTTCCAGTCCTCTGCTGAGTAAGAGTGGTAAGAGTGGTAAGAGCAAACACCCTCAACTTGTTCCTAGTCTTAGGGGGAAAGCATTTAGTCTTTTACCCCAATTATGATGTTAGCAGTAAACTTGGCATTTCCACCCTTGGCCAAGTATCAAAGAGGAAGTTTTCTGAACATAAAGTTTAAAGGAACATACATATGAGAGTAAGTAGAGTAAGTTGCTTTTCTTGACTAGAGTCTACCTCCTTCCCTCATATAACAATGCTTTTTCTCTCAGAGGAAGATGACCTTCCGCCACCATTTATACAGTTCCAGTGCAATAGGCACATGAGTAAGTTCTGGTCAATTCATCCATCCTAGCCTCTGGACCAAGTAGTTAGTCTAATAAAATCCAAATAAAGAACGTTTTTGGAATGATTAGATAAAAGCTCTGTTTCCACTAGACTTACAGATCAGGGATCAACGAACTATGTATGGCCCATGACCCAAATCAAGCCAGCCATCTGTTTTTGTAAATAAAGTTTTTTTTTTGAGACGGAGTCTTGCTCTGTCGCTCAGGCTGGAGTGCAGTGGCCGGATCTCAGCTCACTGCAAGCTCCGCCTCCCAGGTTCACGCCATTCTCCTGCCTCAGCCTCCCGAGCAGCTGGGACTACAGGCGCCCGCCACCTCGCCCGGCTAGTTTTTTTGTATTTTTTAGTAGAGACGGGGTTTCACCGTGTTAGCCAGGATGGTCTCGATCTCCTGACCTCGTGATCCGCCCACCTTGGCCTCCCAAAGTGCTGGGATTACAGGCTTGAGCCACCGCGCCTGGCCCTGTAAATAAAGTTTTATTGAAACAAGGCTATACCTATTCATTTACATATTGTTCATGGCAGCTTTTTAGCCACAGCAGCAAAGTTAGTAGCTGCAAATGCGACCACATGGCCCACAAAGCCTAAAATACTATCTGGCCCATTACAGAAAAAGGTTACTGCCCCCTGTTTTTAATAAGAAGACGTAAGCTTGGAATGAATAGTAAGGAAGCATCTCACCACTCTATGAAAAGAACATGTTGGAAAATGAAGCCAATACAAAAGAGGAAACCAACTCCAAATATTATGTAAGTTCCCGGATTCGGATGAGCCACAGACTATTAGACTCCAGTATTTTTCAGTTATGTAACCCAATAAGTCCAGCTTTTCCTCAAGTTTGAATTGAGTTTCCTACATTTGAATTAAAATAATTCAAATTTTAATTTAAATGTACTACATAAAATCTATAACGCTTATTGTAGGAAGACAATTCTAATTTCTTCCTCTATTATACGCCCATCAACACCATAAAGACATTCAACATTTCCTTAGACTAAGATATGACTGTGTATTAAAAAAAAAAGTATGATTTAATGCCAAAACTAAATTTAACATTTAAAAATGAAATGTTTCAAAATCAACTGATTTGGGGCTCATTTACCTTTTCTTTGTTTTTCAACCAACCATCCTAAGGTATTATTGGACAACGAAAGAACAAAAGAATAGAAACTAAAAGTAACCCCCTCCAAAAAAACAAAACAAAACAAAACAAAAAAAACCCACCAACACCAAATAATCCATCAAAGAACAACTGAGATAGAAGTATAAAACAGAAGATAGTTGCCACTGTTAACATCTCCCTGAAGTAAGGCAACCACACTAACACCGACTAGAGAAAGAGCTAACTAGAGAAATCCAAAGCTCCCACAGGGACAGATTTAACTAATTAGGGAGATGGTGATTAAAGCTGGAGCTGCTAATTGTCTACTGGCCATGTATCTCTAGTAATGTCCCCTAGAGGCTTTCAGCAACGGGAGACAAAATTAAGCCTAGTATTACTGTCAATTACACAGACATCATTTGTCTATATTTATCTCCCTCTTTAGGAAACTAAAAAGCACACAGAAGTGTGGTTTTCAGTGCAAGCTATATGTTCCTGTGAGGAAATAATTTTATATTATGTTTAGAAACAAAATTATTTTGTGTTTAAACTTGTTTTAATTTGTACATTCCGGAGCAAGAAGATGTTTCTTTCAACAGCACACTTTCCATCTGCAGAGGCCAGATGTTAATCTACAGGAAAACTGAAGTGGTTAGTAAGAAGACCAATTATACACAGAGAACAAATATCTAAGTGGTGGGGGGAGAGGATGGGGAGGCTTAAAATGGAATTAATTGGTGAGGCAGTTTTGGAACTCCAGCTTATCCGGGGCAGGGGGAGAGATGGTAGTGGGTTTGGGGTTTTTTTGTTGTTGTAATTTGGCTTTTTTTGCCCATACCGAGAAGAGAATGCCATACAGGATTGTTCTTCCTGGGCATTTCCTTCCCTCTGAGTTGAAGAATCATTCCAGGGAGGGAGTGAAAGTATTGTAAAAATGAACTGAGAATTCTTAGAAGGCAATTTGAAATTTTACCTCCATTAAAGATGAAAACTGAGTATGTCTAGGATTAGACATGGGTCAAATTCTAGCTTTGCCACTAGGATGGAGACTGCCAACTATTCACAGTATCCTTTCTCCTCTTCTTCTCTGAAATAACAACGCGCCCAGGGTCCTGGCAGGGCCCATGACTGCCTATGTACAGCCTAGGTTTCCCAGCCTGCTCTGCAGGTAGATGTGGCTGTACCATTATGTTTGAGCCAATGGAAGTGTCGTGTGCATCTTCTGGGTCCTTCAAAATGCTTTCATCCTCATTTTCTGGCTGGAAAATGGCAATGACTGGAGCAATGTGGGAAGCCGTGGGCTGAGGATAGCAGAATGACCCTACTAGACATGGACTCCTCCCTTCTCGACTCTAAGAGAGAAATACACTTATCTATCTTACATAAACCACTGTACTTCGGAGTCTCTCTGTTATAGCAATCTAGCCTGTACCCTACTAATACAGCCATTTACTATCTGTGCCACTTGGGGCAAGTTATTTAACCTGTCTAAGCCTCAGTTTCCTCATCTATAAAATGGAATCACAGCACTTATTTCATTAAGTGCTAAGAGAAATAAACAGGTTAAGAGATGTAATGTGCTCAGTCCTGTGCCTAACAAGCAAAAAAGTGTGCTCAACAAATAGTAGATAATGCTAGCAAAAAGAAAGATCTACTTGGGAAGCTTCTTTCAAAGGCCTTTGACATCAAGCAGCTATTGTGCCCATAAAGCCTCAAAGGTAGAAATGTGTATCTGGTTTTGAGGGTTCCAATGGGTAACAACGTATTCAGAGACAATCAGAGCTATCTTATATTTTAGCTCAGGAGAAGAATTAAGATTAAACAATGCTTAATTATAGTTTAGCAAACTGTGTCTAAATCATTATTTATTTAAATCTGTAAGAGACCTTGCTCTGTATATTATTAAATGTCATACAATACTAGCTATTTCTTTATGCTTAGTTGACTGCGTCGCAAGTTTGTATAAAATATGGCTGAGTAGAAAGGTACATAACTATGTTGCCAGACCACCTCACCAAGGTAAGCTGAGAAAGAGACACACAAATCAGCTGGCATTATCCAGCTTGATGCAAAGAGTTCTACAGTCAATGGAGCCCATCGCCTACTTCTTCCTTGCACACATTTCCTCCCTTTGGTGTAAGCATCAATTATTGGCCCTCTGGCATTGTAGATTCTTTTTCTCTTTTGTTGGTGGCACATGGTTAGACTGTACTCTTACGATTTCTGCAACCTTGAGATTTGCTGACTAATAGAGTTGAGATCCTTGGAACTAAGATAAGACGACTACAATGATTCCAGGGCTCTTACGGATTTTACACGTCACAAGATGCGGAACAACTATGAGATTACATCACCCAGCTGAGGCCAGCATTGCTGAAATAGCAGCAGGGATCATATTACCAGGCTCACCTCCCTCCATCCACCCTGATAATGTCCCACTGCTTATAAGGGGAGGTAAGTTACTATGGGAGGCTGAACCAGAAGTCAGTGATAAAAGATGGGAGTTCTGGTGTAATTCTATGCAGAAGACATGCCTTAGGACAGAGAGGTCAAAGCTTAAGAACTATATCTATACAGAAGCAATATCAATATTCACAAACATAAACCTAGGAATAAAAAGCCACCTCTAGTACATTGGTTTCAAGAACCCAAGGCTTTAGAACCACAGCAAAAATCACTGCACTAGGGAAGCAACAAACAACTCAGGGCCTTCATTCTTGCTGTACTTCCCTGAATTGTTACTTACAGGTTCCCGGCCATCCATGGCTTCCATCCAGAGCCTCCGGTCCTCTTCCGACAACGCTTGCATGGTGATAACCCCTGGCCTGCAGAGAAAGGAGGGACATGGATATGAAACCAGTGCCACATGTACAGAGATTGGTGAAGGCGAATCTTAAACATCCACTCAAAAGAGTCAGTGGTTGCTAGGGTTAACAACACAAAGAGGGGTACAACCCTCGGCTTTACTAAGCTACCTTCTAGTCTCAGAAAAGATGGCCCAAATTCCTCTCAGTCAGCCCATCTCCCTCAGAGACGCAGAAACACAGAAGAGATGACCCTATTTTACAGGTAAGGGACATAGAGGAGTTAAGTGGTTCCTTTAGACACTGTTCAATTCCTTGAAATCTTATTCATTTCGAGACCTCAGAATGCTTAACAGAGTATGATACTCACAGTAGAAATGCAATAAATGTTTGTGGAAGTGAATGGAATTACTGGACTCAAGACAAAAAAGAGGAGAAAACATCCAAGCTAGAGGCATGCTTGTCTCCTAATATCTAGTCCACTGCTTCTAAATTGCTTCAGGCATGGAGAAGTTTTATGGTGGTCATCATCTTGGTAGTTATGATTAAATGTGCACAGTCTTTTTAAAAAATGAATACTTAATCATGTCAGGTGCTAAGTGCTTTACATGCATGAGATCATTTCACTCACTGAAATCGGCTTGCTCCCTAAACCTGAGCACAAGCCCTCCAGAAGACATGCACACAATATCAAATGGGTTTTGTTCAGTTCCCATCACAAATGGTACTCCACAAGAAAAAGAGACTGTGAGATAAAAGCGACCTTGGGAGAAGAGGCTGAAAGCCCTCTACGCTCATTAAAGTAGGAGTTATTCATTTAGGGTGAAGATACATCCCAGAGTGTCCCCAAACCACCTCCTCCTCTCCCTCAAATGTATGTGGATTTTTCTGTAGAAACAATTCAAATTGTCCGTCAAATTCTCAGAGAGAACTGCAACCCTCAAAAAGTTAAGAATTGCTAGTTAAAAACCATCCTCTTTAAAATTTGAGACAGCCTAAAAAGGAGGAAGGAGTCCACTGAGCAAGAACTAAAGTCTGATTCCTGTCTGAGTGCACAAACACTGCGAATGATCATACGACAATACGGTATGAAAACTACACAGGCTGAGCAACACCCTTAGCAGCACAAGCCTGGGCCCCATAAGCACCCAAGCTTGCTCATTCTCACCCGCCCATCATCTCCGCTTCTGGCTTATAGCTATAGTTCCAATGAATATGCTAAACCTATTTGTTTAACATAATTTAAAAGTCACATTTGATTCTTTTCATTAATCATCCCTCAACATCCCCTTAAAAAAAACTTTAGAGCTGTGGGCATGTAAAAACAGATGGGTTGGGGATGCAAGGGGCATGGGGTAGGGGTGTGAATGTGTGAGGGTATAAACGTGTGTGGGGTCGAGAGAGACAGAGAGAGAGGGAAAGCATGCAAACAAGCAAGAGAAGGGAGAGCGAGAACAAGCAAGAGACAGAAAGGGGAGTAGGGGTGTGTGTGGGTGAGAGGAGGGGTGGGCAGCTAGATAGGTGGGCGTGTTGATGACGGTGGAACACTGATCCCACTGATCCCAAAGATTAGATATCTTTGTATCTAATACAAAGATAACTCAGAGGATGGAATAACTCTTCTCTCCATGAGCACCTTCCAGGACTCTCCCTCCTCTTCTCAGAAATTCTCATTCTCAGACCCAACCAAGTGCCCACTTCCCACCATCAGCCCATTCAGTGTGCCAGAGTCAGTAGGTATCTGCAGACAGCTGACAGTGGTGGCTCCACAGAACTGACTCTGTGGCTTGAGGCCACGATGGACTGATTCTACCCTTCCACCTTTCTCTAAAGACCAAGTACGACATCTTAATAGCTTTGAAACAAAAAGCCTCTGCAGCTACTGTCTATTGCAGAACTCTCAAGTCCCCGGTTCTGGGTCTTTCAGTGTTGCTGCAGGTGCTGCTTCTGTACCACCTGCTTCAGAATCAGACATTCCCTTAACATGGAGACTCCAGCCCAACCCCACTCCACTCAATCTGAACTGGGCTGTGCCTGGGAACTTGGATTTTAACCAACTCCCCAGGTGATCTTGGTGCAGAGTTAAGTTTGAGGCCCACACCCTGGGCTGTCCACTCCATCCCCACTCTTTTCCTTCCTGTTCCCCTTGCCCTAGAGTGCAAAGTTACCCTCCTTTCTGCAGTGAGGTCAAGGAGCCAACATGTCTCTAGTTCGTTTCCTGCTAGTGGCCCACCAGCAAACAGTGAGATCACAAGAGCTGTCTGCATACCACGGTCTCAGGGGTTCACAGATATTACATCAACTTCATGGCACACAGTGTGAGATTTCCACCCAGAGCCACAAAGAGGAAGTTCGACAACCTCAGAGGCTGTGAAGGGTGGGCCACTCGGCCTTGGTAACCAGGAAAGTCAACAGGATTTGTTTTCATTCCAAGAAGAAACATCAAAATACAAGTTCTTTTCCACATGTAGTCTTGTTCCCTTTTGCAGGGGGAGTGGGGTAGGGGACGGATGCACATGTCTTGCATGTGAATTTCCAAGAACAAAGGTAAAAAGGGTGAACTATCTTTATTCTGGAGTAAAACCGTAACTTTCTTTCCATATTTACCTTCCTCATGCCCTACTAATAACTATCCCTCAAAACAAAATAAAACAAGCAAAACCCTCAAAGACCCTCCACTTTGCAGGTCAGTCCCTATAAACTAGCATACTTTGAGACCTGCTCTTACAGGATGTCAATTTAGTTCATGTTTGAAATGCATGTGGTTCTTCACAGCAAAAAAAATGGGCAGGGCTGGGGAGACAGAGGAGAGAGAGATTAAAAGTAGGAGGATAGGTCGGGCGCAGTGGCCAACGCCTGTAATCCCAGCACCTTGGGAGGCCGATATGGGTGGATCACGAGGTCAAGAGATCAAGACAATCCTGACCAACACAGTGAAACCCCATCTCTACTAAAAAATACAAAAATTAGCTGGGCATGGTGGCACATGCCTGTAGTCCCAGTTACTCGGGAGGCTGAGGCAGGAGAATCGCTTGAACCCGGGAGGTGGAGGTTGCAGTGAGCCGAGATCACGCCACTGCACTCCAGCTTGGCGACAGGGCGAGACTCTGTCTCAAAATAAAAAAAAGTAGGAGGATAATATGGAATGAGGAAGGGAACATATAAAACAATGAAAGAGAAATGGAGTAAATGATCAGAGCTCTTTTTACCTCTACAAAGAATTGTGAGCCTATTAGACTCAATACAATAAAAGAACAGTAGTAAGTATAACCCAGCAGTATGTGCCAGTTGCTGTGCTAAGCACTGTATATAAATTAATTCACCTAATCTTCACAGCTACATCATGAGAAAAGTATATTCTTATTACTCTCCTTTAGCAGATGAGAAAACCAAGGCTCAGAGAGGTTAAGTATCTTGTCCACAATTACAGAGCTGCCAAGATACAGAGCCAGGATGTGAACACAAGCATTCCAACCCCTAACTCTTGTGCATAATGTCATGGCAAATGTGATGGCACCACAGCCCCCAGAAAGCTCATATTGACCACCCAAGTCCTCTGGTGTCAAAATCAGCCTCGCACTTCTGCAAGTGCCTTAGTGAGCTCCTGTATGGGATTAAATAAGATTGAATGATAAAGAGCTCTGTAAAAACCTAACGTGCTTCATAAATATGAGGGCTTACAACACTACTCTAGGCGAACAGCTAATCCAAAACAAGAATCCAACAGCATCCAGAGTAACTGGGGCTTACTTTCTATAGCAGTGGACCTCCATGTTTTATCTGTCTTAAAAATACTCAAGAGATGGAAAGGCAATTAGTTTTTCTTAAAAAAGAACACAAAAAGTCATAATCATAAAGAAAACATATTGAAAAATTGGACTTCACCAAAATGAAGAACTTACACTCATCAAAAGATGAATTTAATTACTTATTACTTTTATTTTTAAAAAAGTCAAACCAGAGTGAGAGAAGATATTTGTAATATCTATCTCCTACAAGACTCATATCCAGAATATGTAAAGAATGCCTAAAAATAAATAAGAAAAAATGAACCACCCAATACAATAAATACTTGAATAAGCACTTCATAAAAGAGGACATCCAAATGGCCAATAAGGCTAAGAAACAGAGCCCAAACTGATTACTTATCAGGGAAATGTGATTAAAACCACAATGAGATATAACAAGCACCCTCCTGAATAGAGGGCATTAAAAGGCCACCAATAACCAGTACTGGCAAAAAATGTAGAGTAACTGGGACTCTCATACATCGCTGGTGGGAGAATAAGTTGATGGAACTACTTTGGCAATATCTGCTAGAACTAAACATGCACCTGCCCTATGACCTAGCAATTATACCTCTACATATATACTCAAGAGAATTGAGTACATATGTCCACCAAAAGGTACATTCAAGAATACCTGCAGTTTTATTTAGAATAGCCAAAAATTGCAAAAATAACAACAAATAAATACTCATTGATAAATGGATAAACTGTTGTATATTTGAACAATGGGACACCATACAACAATTTTTTTAAAAAGAATCAACCACTGCTACATGCAACAACATGAATGAATCTCAGAGATGTAACGATGAGGGAAAGAAGCCAGACACAAAAGATTATGTGACTGTGTGACTCCACTTCTATGATGTTCAAATACTTGCAAAATTCATCTATGGCAACAGAAGTCAGAAGAGCGATTTTTTTTTTTTTTTTTTTTTTTGAAAAAGAGATATGGGCAACAACTGAAAAGCGGCACAAGGGTATCTCCTGGAGTGACAGAAACATTCTATATCTTCATCTGGGTGGTTACACAGTTGTGTGTGTATAAAAAGTTATTAAAATACAGACTTTGGATTCATGCATTTTACTGTGATTACACCTCAGTAAAAATTGTTTTAAATACCCAAGAGCTATGACTTCTCATCAATAACTTAGGCTCACTAGTTATTCTGATTCTAGTGCTTCCTAGATGTATAACCATGGCAGACTAGCAACTGAACTATTCTGTGCTAC